AGTGCGTCACAAACGCATCCGAACGAGTAAACAATCATGGAAGTGGTCAACATCAGTAGTTTATCTTTATTCCGTATGGTTATCAGTGGCTAACTTTCGGAAGAACAGCGTAGGTGCGCGACGTTGAATGTGGCTTTCACCGCTCCATTCAGTCGTCTGATAAGGGTTTCAGTGGTAACTTCACCCCTAAAAGAAACACTAATGAACAGGTCATTATTTTCCACCATATCCATGCGTACTTTCGGTACCTGTTCCATCATATTTCGTTGAATGAAGCGGTCGGGATAGCCATTGCTTCTGAGCACGTTGGAGATAAGTTTGAGTTCATCTTCAAATACTTCTTGTGAGCAGATTCTTCGAGCTCTAGATACCAAACATTTAATCAGGTTCCTCTTCAGCTTAATCGATCATGTATTGGTTACTCCTGGTTCTTTTACACACGTCGTTGTATAGATTCACCACGCCTTCTAATGAAGAGTAAATCTAGAAGGTTTCAGGTTAAGTCTTTGTAGTCATGCATCTCCCTCTGATCTATCCATCACGTCGCAGTATTTATGCAAATTTTACATTTTGTATCTGACCCTGTTGTTTAATCAATCCAGCTGTTTATATTGGATTCAGTCTGTCCATTAACGTATCTAAATGTCAGCGCAGCAATATTCTGCCTGCATAAACAAACACGATGGTTTAAATACATCAAGTGCGCTCTATTTCTTACCGCATTTCTCTGTTTTGTTTACTAGTCTTCGAGAAACAATTTGCTAACTCATTTGGGTTTTTCATCTGTCTAATTCGGTCATTCAGTTCAGTTAGTCTGCTTCGCGTGGTCGGGCTCAAGTTGACTTTAGGTGAATTCGCGACCATCCTGTTCCGGCGTTTACATGTATTAACAGCAGTATATTTTCCCACCAATGGATAAATTGTTTTACCGTCCTACTTTATATCATTTTTATAGCTTGCCGTCTGGGCAATGAATGATCCATTTTATCGGGTCGCACTCGAAGGTCTAGAATTGGCTCAACTCCTTTCTACCATGTTGCGCCGAATCGGTGAGTCGAAGCCAACTTTCCGGTTACACCACTATTCACCTCACATATGTTTTGAAAGACAGGTGACTTTGCATAGTCGCTTAGGCTGAAGTATATTCCATAGAGTACCAATAAACACCTTGGTTTTAAATCGTTTGAACTGATTGGCTCATTTCATTCGGAACGAAAGATTTACTGTATATTTTGGTAATTCGTTCGTCGGGACAGTCTGAAATGCTTTTGTGTGACCAATAAATAACTTACATAATATCAGTGCTATCTGTGATCTCAATACTTTCATATCCTTCGTATGAAGGGAAACAGGAAGGAATAAACGGACTGAAAGTTGAGTGAAGAATAAGTGATCTTTTTACAAAACAAGTGATTTACGCTGCTCGAAGTTTATCAGTCCTGTTTTCTCGTGCCGAATCTCACTAGCACGGTTAGATTCGCTTTCCCTTCACACTAAAATCCAAACCTTTTTAGATTTCCCGAATGTGATGTTCAAATTTGGTGCATCATCATTTCTTTGTTTGATTTACATTCTCTTTTCTTCCACGTTTCCTCAATCCCTCTGCTAGGTGGAGAACAGTATGCCTTAATATTGTTCGATCCACTGTTTCGTTTGCTGGATGCTAACGATCGAGATTTGGAGCTGAAAGAAAAAGCGATCGCCTCCGTGTGAGTTTTACTCTCCTTGCACGGTCCTGTACAAGAATAATGCGTCATTTTTTCTCCCATGAACTTGTATGTTACTGGGTTTGTTTAAGACAACTGTAAAATAGTGTTGTCAGCTCTATGTAACTTTCGTTCTGGAGTGACTGAGGAGTTAATAAGAATAACAGTCCTTGACAGTGTACGACCTACACGTTCTGTCAACCTAACTTCACTAGACTTTACTGATTAAATGTCCGTCGGGCCTCGCGGATTTCCATCAATTCATGCATTAATTCTTATTCCGTTGGTCGGATGAAATTAACTTCAGTTTGTGATGTGATCCACCAATAATGCTAAAAATAATACACGTTAGAAAACGGAATTGGCAAGTTGTTTCGATTATTGACAATGCGCACTTAATGACATTGTACCAGTCTCCTGCATGACGCTGTTCGTTGTGGGCTTTTTTGACAGGCGGCTACCGAGGACCGCAATACTCCTAAGCAAAAATTGAATGAGCAATGCCCTGTCTTTTGAAACTTTGATCGAATTACAATATTTACAGCTGACTACCTCGTCTTATTCTGATGTGCCAATTACTTGTTCACTGTCTGTTTTGTGTGCTCCCCCAGTGCGGTGTTCATTGCACAGATCGGTGATCTGATTGGACCACATTTGCAAAAATGTCTGCAAGTAATTCATCGTCGTTTGACGAACGAACTGACTCGGTTAGCTGCGGTCCGCGCAATCCACATAATCTCTGTGTAAGTTTTTGTGTAGGTGATTGATTTTATCCGCTTATTTATTTGAACTAATGTGCTCCTTCTCCGATTTTCAACCACAGGAGCATCCGAAAGACAGCACCCGAAACCGTCACTAGAACGTGTTTAATTAGTGGCCGTATGAACTGAAGCTGGAACCCGACCAACATTATCATCATTATACACCGTAATACAGTGAAGCGAACTTCGCTGATCGCTGCCAAACTCATAATTCTATACAAGTTAATTGAAAATAGGCAAGGAGGATAGGGATTGGATCTATTTTTATGGATGGAAAAAGAAAGTAAACCTCTATGGTCAGCACACAGAGTACACAGTCCAACTGTGCATACGCACTATTTCACGTATTCTAGACTGATAAGACGTGACAGGAAGATCATCAATGGTGTCGGTTTGCTGCCATTACCTTCAGTGTCTCTAACCCGGAAGATGAAAGACATCCACTCTGCCTAATCATTCTGTGCACTTCATACCTCGTCCCCACGTCATCTGCTAACCTCCACATGGCTTCCTCCAGTCTGCGGCGGCCACTGCAAATAAGACACGGTTCGGTGGGCGACCGTTGGACATACACCAAACCTGTCCTAACCAGTGGAGCCCATTTAGCTGATTTCGATGCATTCCCAAACACCCCACGACTTGCATCTAGGTTACTAACTCGCTCACTCCATCCAACCTGGGCAAGACTACGTAAGTAGTCGCTCTTGGTTTGGGCCGAACATTTTCAGCTATTATCTTCTCTAAGAAACGTTGTACGCCGAGAGAGTCTTAACGAATCGAACACACTCCTACATAAAGTTTATGATGGTCAGCTACTTGCCTTTGTACGCAATCACCAGTGCTCAGTATTCTCTGCCTTATCGCTCTTGCTCGACCGAACTCGTGTAGTGCACCGCATCAGGACACTTAAGTCCGTTCACGGTCTCAAATACGGTGCACTTATGTTTTAATATGTTCTGCAGTGACGGACGCTGGCTTGTTTGTTACGTTCACTAATTGATTCTTTTTCATCCTGTTTCGTCCTGAGTAGTTTTTGACAGCAGTGGCTATGCATAAACCCAACATATTTATTTTTGCACTCACGTTGGTGGTTGTTATTACTCTTGCTGGAAGTAATAACAAGCTTTCGTCACCCAAAAGGTCATAAACGTCGTACATGGAGGCCATAAGGGTGTGCATAATTTTTACTTGTTTTCTACCATAATCCCGTTCACCTATTTCCTGACCCCAATCTTGAGTGCTTCTCGAATACTACTTGCTCCTTTGTAACTTTCAGGATTATACATTGAGTGAATTGGGGTCCGTTTATCTCTATTTTGTCGAAATTCTGATCCTTTGTTATACACTACCCATTATTTCAGGTCTCCACTCGCAATCGACAGAAACGATTTTCTGGTAAGTTCAGCATAATTAAAGTGGTTTTGTGGATAGGAAACAGGAAACATCCCGACACTGTTTCAAATGCAACAAAAGTTTTGTTTCACAACCTACGCATTTTGATAATTTGGCCCTTTATGTTTATTTACTGGTTAGGATAGGAGTCACAGACATACCTAGTGAACGTTTGCAACATTCACTCCATTGGTTCCGATTACACACCCTATAGTTTCTAGCCAATGAATCCCTCGAGAAGGGACGACGAAAACCAAGGATACTGTAAATTTTTTCACGCAGCTGCACCAACTCGTCCACTAACCACAACTACGCTTGTTCCACTCATACGTGAAAATCTAAAACAGCCCGCTATTGGAGACGGTAAACGGGCGTAGACCATTCATCCAAGTCATTGGGGAGGGGGGGGGGGGGGGGTACAGTCATTTATACGGTGTCCACCTACCCAACTTTGTCACACAAACTAGTATTGACTCACATCACTATTGCCCGCGCACACAGGAAATGTTTTGCGGACAGTTCTGATAGAATATCCTTTGAACAATGGGCATCCTCAATGCGAACTGACCCGGTCTCGCAGCCGCAGGACTAAAGTGTGGTCTGTAGAATAACATACCGATTGGCGAACGAAACTGGTACTCATTTGAAAACCCTCTCTCTCATCTGTCCAGTTCTTCCGTTTCACTCTCAAATCTTAGGTGCCTTCTGGTTGCGCTACTCATTGGATATCACTCAGCGTTCAACTGGATAGATCACTAACCAGAGGTTGACAGATTTTTGAAACCAAAGTCCCCGTTTCACTTGCCTTCATTCAATGTCCGCGCACTATCAGAATGATCGACAGACGGCCTAGCTAGAACTCTTGAAACTTTCAAGTCAGATGTATGCTTTGTATCCAAAGCACGCATACAAGGCCTTACTTCAATCATCACCGTGTGATCTCCAGATCCGACCTCATCCTCACAATTCACCCGTCAAGTGTCAAGCGATTCGGCATCCGAAGCTCACGGTGTTGCTGGTTTAGGGATCGCGCCAAGTGCCAAGACTGAGCGCTCGTCTCTTAACTGGATTCCGGTTAGTAGTCAGCTGTGCGCTGTGTGGTTGGATGGTTCAATAAGAGTCAGTAGCTACAGAACTAAGCGTCGGTGCTCATTCGTCGTATCCCTGTATGCACCGACCGATCGCAGTACACCTGAAATCAAGGATGAATTCTACAAGGGTCTTTCTCAATCACTCCAAAATGTTCGATCAACGGACGCCGTGGTAATTACTGGAGACTTCGATGCTCAGGTGGGATCCTTGAACGAATCGGAAAGGCTCCGTGGTGGTACACACGCAATCCGAGCACTAATCGACAACGGTGATCGCCCGCTCCTATTTTGCGATGATCACGGACTGTTCCCGTCAAGCACAAAATTCTCGCACAAGGCACCACAACACCACCCTGCGTGGGAACCTCTTTACAGCTTTGGACCTAAATCGTTCACATCGCCATCAGTTGTCGCTAGAGGGATCAATTTACAACTGTCACTCTGGCTTGTTGGCACCTGTGGATACAGACACTGTTACGAGCCATATTCTCATCATCATCATCGTACAGCGAAATCCAGTGAAGCGAACTTCGCTGATCACTGTCAAACTCGCAATGCATACAAGATTAGTGGTAAAATTTAAGGTGG